GTTTGTTATAGAAATCCTCTTGTTTCTCATTTGGTGCTTATATTGCTACTAAAAGTATCTTTTTATTATTCTCCATTATCTCCACCATCAACATCCTCCCACCTTCATCTGTAAAAATTGATTTAGCTTTTATTGTTTTTTTAATATATAAAACTTTTGCTTTGCTCTGCCAATGATGAGTATAGATTGCCAATTTAGGATAGTCCAAAACATGGATATGTTGTTTTTTTAATATGTACCTCATGTAAACAAACTATATCTAATTTTAATTTTTCTAATTTATTAAAAATCCTTTTTCTTTTGATAGCCGAATTCAATCCATTTATATTTATTGACATTAATTTCTTCTCTTCTTCCATCATTTATACTTTATAAGTAGAGTTTATTGCTGTTGTAATTCTTTTGCTCTCTTGCTTCTTTTGGTTCTGCTCTTCCTTCTATTGCTCCTTCCTCTTGTGGCCTTTCCTCTCTCTTTTCTTGTCTCTTTCTTCTGCCATTTCCTCCCAATATTTAATTATTTCCCCTTCTCTCATTCTCTCTTCTTCTTTTCCTCTAAAATATTCATCATAAAATTGCTCTGCTTTTTCTATTGAATCCAGTCTGTGTCTTTGTTCTTGCCAATTAACCATCAGACCTTCTGGTATTAGCCATCTGTAATTCACTCCTTTCTTAATTAGGATCTTTGTCAAGAACTGATATTCCTTTCTCAGGTCTCTCACTCTTCTCAGAATTTGTTTTAGGACTGTAATCACTTTCCCTTTAGATTTCAAAGAGTCATTCCTTGCTCTCTGCAATATTTCTGTTTTTATTGCCTTCTTGGTAAATCTCACGTGCACTTCTCCAGGTAATTTGTTTCTCATTACTTATCTGGTGTATACTCTGAATATTTCATCCATTCCATCCATCATTTTTTCTTCAGGCACCTCGTATTGTCTCGTATTGTTGGGTTACTAGTTGTTCCATTCCCAGATTTGTTACAGCATTGTAGAAGGTTGCATGTATGGGTTCAGTTTTACATTCGTTTAGGGTCCAGTTAATGTGAGGTAGATTGAAGTCAAGAAAGATAAAGGTGTGTGGGCAGGATGTTGGCCATGTTAGTAGTGAATTTAGCTTGTTTACATGTTCAATGTTATAATCAGGGGTTCTGTAACATGGTAAGAATTGAAATGTGATATTTAAGGACAGTTCACAGACGATGGTCTCAGGAAGAGCAAGCTCCTGGGTAACTTGGATGTTTTTTAGATGTAAGGACTTTTTATAGAAGATAGCAACACCATCTCCTCTATGGATTTCACGATCTGATCAGTAAACATGATAGTCTCTTACTGTGGTAATGGAGTCAGGGAGAGATGCGTCGAGCCATGTTTCACAGACAAATATGATGTCAAATTTAGCCATATTTAGTAAGAGGAGAAATTCAGGTATTTTATTTACAAGGCTTCTTGCATTGAGTAGCTTGCATTTAAGGCCAGTTGTGGTTGGAATTGAGGTAGTTAGGGGTGTGCATGCCTAGTTTTGAGTGGTGGTGGGTTGGATGAGGTAGGGTTGGATGTGGAGTTGTGGGTTGTGTGACTTACTTTTTATACAATCAGCGCAGTAGTCAATGTACAGGTCCTTCTCTCCATTGTCTAGATGTCTTTTGAGTTCATTGTGGAGTTCATGGGAGCGGATTCTTTGCAGTATGGATAAGTCTGGTGTTGAGCAAAGTTTTTTTGTGGTTAGGATTGGTTTTTGCAATGGGGTTTATTGTATGAATGAATATGTGTTTGCTGGACTCATTTTTGCATACAACTCTACAAAATTTTGGGGCCACCGAGCCATCACTATATTTGAACTCAGGGCCATCTCTGGTTATTTCAATGTTATCTTCAGAAGAGATGTTTGTTGTATTTGAGTTGCTTATGATATTGCGTACTTTGGTGATGTCGCCTGATTCGTTGGTGTCTTCAAGACCAAATAAGATGGCATTTGGATGTTTCTGATCATGTTCCATGGTGTCTGATGAGTAAGGGGATACCATTTGTGGAATTATTTGATGGGATAGTAATTATTTGTGGTTGTGGTTTGGTGGTTATTTTTGGTTGTAGTTGTGATTGTAGTTGAGGTAGTAGTTGTGGTAGTGGTTGTTGAGTTGGGATTTGATTTTGAGCTGATAGGTAGTCGCTTATGAGTGCTGTATTTTTTTCAAGAGAAATTAGGCTTTCTTGTATAATTGTTTCAAAACGTGTTGCTAAGCGTTTTTCTATTGAGTGCATGAGTGATTCTATGCTATCAACTCTGTCAGGCAGGGTACTTGGTTTGTTTAGCTTAGGAAAACATGATGGACATAGACAAGGGAATGTATCTGATGCTTGTAGGAGATCAGCTACATCTTTGTTTAAGTTTAAGCAGGCAAGGTGGGCTTAATTGTCACATAGGTAGCATTCAATGTTATTTTCGCTTTAATTGATGGTTTTAAGACATCTGAAGCATGTACAGGAGTCTGGGAAGTCATTGGTAGAGATATTATTTTGTTGTTGTTTGGTAGTGGAGGATTTGGAGTTTGTGGAGTTCCTGGCTGGCATGGTCAATGACAATAGCACACTAAACAATTACAATAGCTAATTAATGTGATAGGTAGACAGTTACTTAATGAATGTTGGTAATTAATAAATGTTAATTGATAAGTTAGAAAACAAATCAAAGTAAGGTTACTTATTACTAAAAATCAATCAATCAACTTATCACTAAGAATCAATCAATCAATCAACTAGATAATCAATGATACAGTATTAAATCTCTATCAATTCAATGAATCAGTAAATTAGTGGTCATTTAACAATTATTATACTATTATATGATAAATCAATTATTATAGACAAAGCATTATCTATCAATATTTGGTCTTGAAGTACTGAAATAGTGGAGGTAGTGAAGTATTGGAGGTTTGTTGTGTAAAGTTCCTTTGTTTTTCCTTAAAGCCACATTTTTTTGTTTTGTTTTGTTTTTGTTTTAAAGAAGAAGCATTGCTGTTTGATAGATTTGAATGGAGAAGATTTGAATGAGCTCACCAATCATCTACTTTGGAGTTTGGAATGGATGAGATTTGGGTGGGGGTTTAGTGGGGGTTGTCCAATCACCTGAGTGGGAATTTAAATTCAGGCTGACTAATCAGCTGGGTGATTTAAATGGAACTGGGTGATTTATATGGAGACTATCAATTCTCCATGAGTCTCCTTTGTTCTCCCCAATTAGCGGCCATTTAGAATTACAGTCTCTTGCTCTCCTCCAGTCCCAACTCCCTTTCAGATGTTTAGGATTACCCTCTGTCAGTTTCGTCTCTTTCTCTGCAGTTCAGATTCACACTCTACACCAGTCAATCTTCACTCCCAGAATCAGTCTCTCTGTAAGTGACTGAATAAAACTCTCATCTAAACACAGCTCGTCCCGGCTCTTATCTGTATCCACTCTCCACTATCCACTCTCTGCTCTCATTTATTCACAGCTCATGTCGGCTCTTATCACTATCAGCTCTCCGCTATCCGTCCTTTGCTCTCTGCACGCCCTATTCGTTATCTACCAGTCCCAGTTCTTTCAGGTCTCACCCATTCAAAATGGCGTCCTACGGAATGGAGTCTTAGGCTCTCCGCTTGGGATGATGTCCTGGCTCACTCTCTCTGCTCAATCTCGGGATTGCTGGCAAGTTCTCAGTTCTCAGAACCTTCCAAAACCTTTCAACAGTCCCAGTTGAGGTAGATTGCGGCTCCATTGGCCCCAGACCCCACACCCTGTCTCCAGCAATGCGGTTAGGCATTCACCTCGATCACCATCTTTTTGCACTTATCTACAAAATTCCTACAATCACAACCATCTAAGAAATTAGGACCTTTCATTGGAAAGGTTCATTGGACCTTTCCGCATAAGTAGGATTATCAATCATGTGACAGTAAAATTGTCTCTTCCAAAAACACTTAGACAAGTCCACCCAGTGTTTCATATTAGCTTACTCAAACAGGAAGTGATTTCAATTCTCAGACCACCTGCAACTACACCACCTACTCCCATCATGGTAGAGGGTTAACAAACCTTTGAAATCAAGGAAATCCTTGACTCTAGAATCCATAGGGGGAAAACTCAATACTTAGTTGCTTGAAAACATTTACCCTCATCACAAAATGAATGGGTAGCTAAACAACACATTAGAGCCCCCATATTACTGAAACAATTCCATTCCCAATATCCTAACAAACCTTACTAACATATTATAATGAATTTGTCTTCTATTTCTTTTTTGGTTTCAGGTGAACCTCTCTTTTTTCTAAGGAAGGCGGCATGTCAGATCCCAAAAAGTGATACTGCCATTCAATGGAGAGATGGGGGAGTCTTGGATTTGAATCACTAGTATTGTCTGTGACAAATGATATTTTTATTTGTTTTCTCAGAGCCACCAGGAAACAACATCTTCACACCTGGGGAGTGGTTGAATTAACGTTCTGGCTAAAGGGAGGGGTCTCTGCTGCTTTCATTATACTGATCTTGCCTCAGGGTAGTCAGACGTTACTTTGAATCGGATGCTATCACATCTGCTTAATAAAACATTCCTTTTGAAATCCTTCAATTTGAGAGTCTTCACTTTCTTAAGTGAGAAGGAGAGGCAGTCCTTACACATGCTTAAAATGACTGCAGTTGGATAGAAAAAAAGAGGCAAATAATTTATTGTAAAAAAATTCTAATTCATTTTAGTCCATTACTAAGATGCAACGTAGTGAGTATCTGAGGAAGAACAGCATCTTGTTAATTGTTCAATCTTCAAAATGTGGACAGTATTTTAAATATTTTGAACAACACTTTAATTTGTGGTAGTAAATTCCTATTGTTTTCATTAATTAAAATTTAACATATAGAATAAATTTATAGCTCATTTTAATCTTCATGATTCACTAATAACATTCCTATTATATAATCCTATGTTTTTATAAAACCACTAACAAAGTTATATAAATCCAATGCCATGTAATTACCATTCACCATCTGTTCTACGAGGGCCTCAGATGATCTATTGGCATCTTGAAGCTTCCTGCACTTTTCAGGTTTTTCTCGTTCTATGATCTGTAACATGATGAAAAAGTTGAACACTTCACATGAAACACTTTTCAAAGTTTGGCTAACAAAAACCTTGATTAGATAAATCTGGTTTTAAAAGCAATAGTGATGTCTTCTATATTTGATAAATCTGAAAAGTATTGCTATATTTAAATATTCATGATATTTTCAGTCCATAAAAACTTAGATTATTCCTCATTTATCTAAATTTTCATCTTTTTGCCTGGTTAATCAGATTCTACAAATTAATCAAATATGAAATATTTAATGACTCCTTTCATTAATCTGTTTGAAGCAGTAATTATACTTAACCTAAGCAGCAGTAATAAACTTAATGAAACCACTGCTTCCTCCATATAGTAATAGCTTATAACTTTTATTGAGTATTAAATGCAACATGTTACTGTTTTGCATCTAATTCATACTACATCTACCTGTACTTTAACTCCATGAGTACTTCATGAATCTTTTATGAAGAACTGATGGGAGGGTAGATATTGCATAGATACGAAAATCATCTGAAACAAGGTTCTCCGCACATGTGAGTGCATATCAGTATCTCTCTCCAAATTATTAAAAACTCAGTGTTCAGAAATTGCCCCCTTCTGCTTCCAATTACATGTGCACGGATTGCTATTTTACATGCAGAGAGCTAGAAGCCACTGAAAAGCAATTGCACAAATTTGGAAAGGATAATTTGGAAATGATTGCACAATTTTGTGCAATTTATAATTATCCCCTTTTTCAAAAAAGAAAAAAAATGCATAGCCCTGGTGCATAGTTTACAATTGATGGATGGATGAGAAATAATTTATATAGAAAATGTATTTTTAAAAAGATTGGACTTTTCTAACATATAAGATTGTTCAAAAGTATGTACACGGAAATTCACACTTTTCATAATTTCATGCTATAATTAACAGTAAACTGCACAGTAAACATGCTATAATTAAAAGTAAACTGGATAAACATAGTATAGTATAAAATTTTTAGGCAAAATGTACATTATTGAATAATATCAACATAATTATAACTTATTATAGTGTCTTCAAATTTGTACTGAGAAAATACATGTATACCAGTATTTGTGCATACTCTTGCTATGAAAAAGAGGAATCCTAAGAAATATCCATGTAAATGAAAAGATACTATTAGTCATTCCTAATCCTGGAATATTATTCTGTTCATTTTTGTCAAACATCCAAATAATAACAGTTTACAGTTTACCATTCAAATATAACCAGTTATGTACAGTTGCTGCTCCAGAAAAACTGTTTTGACTCCTGTGATAACATATAAGGTTTTGGTAAGAGCAAATGGTTGCTCAATGGTGGCGCAATGGTTAGAATTCAGTACTGTAGGCTATTTCTGCTGATTACCAACTGCCAGCAGTTTGGCAATTTGGGTCTCACCAGCTCAAGGTTGACTCCACATTCCATTCTTCTGAGGTGGGTAAAATAAGGACCCAGATTGTTGGAGGCAATATGCTGACTCTGTAAACCACTTAGAGAGGGCTGTAAAGCACTGTGAAGCAGCATATAAGGCTATTGCTATTGGTTCATTACATTTTCTTCAAGTCATACATTCTCTTCCTGCAAGGAAGTCTTCAGACTAGGTATTGGTCCTTAATCCCCATCATTCATCTGTATTTGAATTTGCATAATTGCAAAAATGGCTCAACAAACAACAGTTGTAGGTTTGGGGCTTTGCAGAAACCTTTACTGAAGTTCAAACAAATGCAAATAAATCATTCTTTTAGAGCTCTCGTGGGATTTGCAGAGGTCCGGAAGACTGCTGCCACTGCATGTATGACCATGTCTTTTATCAAAGCCTTCTATATATTTAGTAATTTTTTTTGGGTTTTATAAAACAGAAAGACAAAATATGAAAGAACAGAATCAATATAGATTTGGAGGAAAAAGTTCTGAAGTGAATTTATGGTTGAATTATGGATAAAGAATTATTACTAGATGAAGTTCCTTTCTTCATATAATTTAATGTAACACGTTATATTTCTTGATATGTGTACGTGTATATTCAAATACACATGGATACATACACGCAGGGGTGGGATTCAAATTTTGTAACAACCGGTTCTGTGGGCGTGGCTTAATTTGTGGGTGTGGCTTGGTGGCCATGTGACTGGGTGGGCATGGCTTGGTGGCCATGTGACTGGCAAATCAAATATAAGTGGTCCTCGCTTAATGGCTGGTTGCTTAGCAAGTGTTCTAATTTATGACTGATCTCCCCAGAGCTATTTGACCTGTTTTTGGAGTTTTGACAGCCATGAACACACACACACACACACACACCCTTCTAACCCTGCTGGAGCAGAGGGTTAGACTAGAAGATGACCTCCGAGATCCCTTGCAGGCCAGCCCTAGATTGCTGTGCTGCTTCAAAGAGTCTTCTGAAGCCAAGGTTTGTGTTCTTCCTTCCTCTCCTTTTTTTTCTCTCCCCCCACTTCCATGCATCTCATTCACTTTCTCCTCTCTCTCTCTCTTTCTTTCTCTTTCTTTCTGTCCCTTCCTTCCACCCCCCTTTCTTCCTTTCACTTCCTTTCACTCTCCCTTTTTCTTTTTCCCCTTTCTTTCTTTTCTTTGTTGTCTCTTCCTTCTCTCTTCCTCTCTCTCTTTCCTTCTCTCTCTCTCCCCCCTCTCTCTTTCTCCCCACTCTTTCTCCCTCCCCCCTCTTTCTCTCTCTCTCTCTCCCTCTCCCTCTTTCCCCCCCTTTCCCTCTCTCTTTCTCTCTCTTTTTCTCTCTTTCCCCCCTCTCTCTTTCTCCCTCCTCTCTCCCTCTCTCCCTTTTTCTCTCTCTTTCTGTTCCTTCCCTTCTTCCTTCCCTCTCTCCTTCTACAGCTAGGAGACCCACCTGAAACACACACAAACACTTCTAACCCTGCTATTCTATGATTCTGTAAGGATCTCTTGCTAGAGCAGGGGGTTGGACTAGATGACCTCCAAGATCCCTTGCAGGCCAACCCTAGATTGCTGTGCTACTTCAAAGAGTCTTCTGAAGCCAGGGTTTGTGTTCTTCCTTCCTCTTTTTTTTCCCCTCCCTCACTCCTTTCATGTATTTATCTATCCATTCATATATCTCATTCACTTTCTCCTCTCTCTCTCTCTCTCTCTCTCTCTCTCTCTCTCTTTCTTTCTTTCTTTCTTTCTTTCTCTCTGTCCCTTCCTTCCATCCCCCTTTCTTCCTTTCACTTCCTTTCTCTCCTTTTTTTCTTTTTTTCCCTTTTTTCTCTTTTCTTTCTTGTCTCTTCCTTCTCCCTTTCTCTCTCTCTTTCTCTCTCTCTCCACCTCTCTTTCCCTCTCTCCCCCTCTCTTTCTCTTTCTCTCTCTCTGCCCCCTCTTTCCCTCTCTTTCTCTCCCTCCCCCTCTCTCCCCCGCTCTTTCTCTCTCTCCCCTTCTCTCCCCCCTCTTTCTTTATCTCTTTCCTTCTCTTCTCTTTTTCCTTCCCCCCTTCTCTATCTCTTTCTTTCTTTCTCTTTCTCTCTCTCTCTTCTTCCTCCATCCATCTCTCCTTCTAAAGCAGGGGTCTCAAACTCAATTTACCTGGGGGCCACTGGAGGCAGAGTCTGGGTGAGGCTGGGCCGCATAACAGATTCCACAAAAAATGTTGTTAAAAAAATATCCTCAAATGTCATCAACAGTTAATGATTTCTCCAATACATGAACTGTCCTGAACACATGAATGGAACATTGAATGAAGATCATGAACAGTTCCTCAGAACATGGCTTCTCCAGCTTACTCCTTGCTGCCAGAGACTTGACAACGCTTCTTCTCACATATCTGAGCCACATTTGGCTTGAGAGAGGAGGCACTTGAGACCCTCAGTATGGCTTGAAGATGATCATCAGTAAGTCTGGACCTGTGTTAGGGATAACATTGTTTTACCCTAACTGTTTTGGGTAAAGATAATAAAATGATGAATCATGGTTTGTCAGATAAAGTGTATGTGACTTTAAGCTAAAGGAATGTAATTAAGGGTGCAGCTGTAAAAGTACTATATAAGCAGCAAGGCACTCTCTGGCTCTTACTGGCTGGCTTATTGAAGACTGCGTTCTTGCTGGATCGGGGAGGAGAAGAAGTGTTGGATTACTTTGAAGATATTTCTCAACGGAGAGAAGATAAGTTTTGGACAGATTTATTATATGTGTACTGACACTGGCTATTCGACACGGACTTTGCAATTAGAGTATCCTCGACAAGACTTGACTGAATTTGGTATATGACTAATGGACTGTTTATTATGACTATGCTATAATTCTTAAATAGAATAAACTATATTTTTGATAGCACAAGCGTATCTGTATTTTTACTGCGTGTTAACTAGAAAACTTATCTCACACATTTACCTGTCTTCCTATCTGACTTCGCTGCACATTCTGTTTAGTTTGTTTTCCTTAACACCCGTTGGGGAATCCAGGCTTAACAACCTGTACTTGGACTTGTTAAAGTTCAGGGTGGAGAAGAAGCCACGACGAGGAACAGCGGGCGGGACTTCCTTCAGAGGTCCATTCCCCCTGCGGGCCGCACTAATATTATACTTTCATATCACGGTGGGGGCCACAGGATATCATCCTGCGGGCCGCAATTGGCCCACGGGCCACGAGTTTGAGACCCCTGTTCTAAAGCTAGGAGACCCACCTGAAACACACACACACACACACACACACTTCCAACATTGCTCATTAGCTTATGTTCTTCCCGGCCAGTCTCCCAGAGCAGGGGTTGCCAACCTTTTGGACCTCAGGGACCACCAAACTCATACTTTTAAATCCCGAGGACCACTAATACGATTTTTTAAAAAAGATAATATTATTTTTTAAATTTTATATATAAAATTGTTATGTCTCACCTGTATCCACAGGTGAGCAATCAAAATTCTAAAGTTCCAAAAATATAAGCAACCAAAAACAAACCCCAACAAAGATAACTGCTGAGGTTTTTCCCAGTCCTCAGCAGTAGTTCTGAAATCTGTTTGGCAATCTTGAAGT